ATATTAATTATATATTATGTTGTTTGTTGTAATTTATTATTATTATTTAATTTATAGAATAAAAATAAATATATTTATATTTTAATTATTTATATATATTTAATATATAATTTAATTTATAATTATATATATATATAAATATTAATAATATTTATTAAAATATATTTATCTTAATTAAGGATTTTGATAATATTTATTAGAATATATAATTTATATTTTTTGGATTATATTTTGGTAGAATAATTAATTAAAATTTAAAATTTATATAATAATTAAAATTTAATTTTTGAAAAATATAAAATAAATTATATATATATAAAGAATATTTGTGCGGATAATTAAATAAAATATAAAAATAATGAGGAAATAAAATATATATATATTTTATTTTTCTCACCCCCCCCTAATATCGTAATTATTATATATTTGATTCCCGAATAATATATAAAATATTTATTTATTAAATTTATATTTAAATTAATTTATAATTTATTTTATTTATAATAATTCTTTATATATTTGAATTAAATTCTATGTTTTTTTTCGAAAATCCGTTTTCTTCATTTATCGATTATTCGTTATATTCCTTATAAATTATTATATTGGATATAATTTCATTATATATCATCCGATCTATATTATATATCTATATATTATATTCTATTTATTTTTATATAATTTTGATATATTATATATATATAATATTGATATAAATTTAATATATATTTATTTATCATATATTATTGATTCGATATAATTCGAATATATATAATATTATTATAAAATATATTTTTCTCCCAATTTTATTATATATAATTTTATTATATTTTATATTTCTTATTTAATTTTATTTCCCATAATTTTATAAAATATTAATTATGTATTTCCTATAATAATAATTTTATAAATTTATTCCAAATAATTTTATTATATATAATAGTAATATATATTATTTTTCAGATTCAATTTTATCATATATAATTTTCTCATATATTATTTTTTATATATAAATTTATCTTATATATCTTTATTATTGGATATGATATTTGATAATATCGATTTCTATTCTGCATGGTACGGTACGTATGGTATTTATGCCATTGGGTTGATTTTGATATCCGATTTGGTCCCATTGATCGTCCGTAATCTTATATAATGTTATATAATAAATATAATATTCAATAATATTAATTTATATATTAAAAAATAATCGAAATATTTTATAAATATAGATAAATATATTATATAAAATTATATTTATAATATAATTTTGATTTATTAAATATTTCCAAAATATTAAAAATTATAATTTATTTTTAATTTCGAAAAATTTCAACTTGATTAATTTGATTTTAATTGTTCCCTTTTAGAAATCAATTTAACAATAAAATTATAATTTATATATTTCGTTTCCCCGGCGAATTTATTTTTAGGATCCA